GTTCTTACGTGCGGTTGTCTTCTTTCCGGATACCTTGTGAAATATAATTCCGCGGCTAACGTCGCATTCTTATCTGATAACATATAGCATTCCATCATGTTACATTTTTCATAATTTTCGAAGTTCATTGTAAAGTTTTATTCAGTTTTCTTATACTTTGACACTTAACATGCTGGTGCTTCGTACCAGCACATAATACCAGAGTTGTTATCGAATTTTTAAATACGAACTTAAGCAATTATTTGATACATTATGTGCCATCATAGTATCATGTATCATGTATGTATGGTTATCACCATAGCAACATAACTTTTAAATACATACATTACTTTTAGATAGAACAAAATGAATTTTTGTTAATTATTTAATAACTATAAGAAATATACCCGACAAACTATATATATTTGTTATCAGAAGAAAATAACAAATTATTTTAGGTCATAGCCAACTATGGTCTCCATTTAAAAAAATTAAGTTACGTCTAAAATCTCGAAAATAAAAGATGGGAAAAAAATTCTACCTACGCCACTGAATTCTTCGTAAAAAGTTGCCCATATAATGTTTTATTTATAATACTCCATCTTTGATAATAAGTGAGATATTCGCGATTGTCGTTTTCGCAAAATTTTCAGTTTTGGCCGATAGGGCGAAAACAAAAGACGATAGCTGTTCAGAGTTTTCGGCATTAGCAGATTACATATTATTTGTATTAAACGGTTTTGCTTTTTTTGTTAAGTACTTTGATACACTTACAATTGAATGGTGCAATGATTCAATAAGAACAGTAAATTCATTTGGATAAAAACTATATCCCTTTTTTCTTTGGTGTCACGTAAAAATTCTTAATCGTAAAGAATTATTTTTCTGTGTAACCGATTTTTAACTTTGCTCACTTTACGATTTCAAATTAACATATTATGTTACGTAGAAATGTTCAGTGATTACAACAAATTTTGCCGCAATTTTTTTTATCGAGCTGTTGCGAAGATATCGATCTCTAAAGATCTCTAAAGGCCTTGGCTTTTGGCACCGATAATAAATTGTTTTAACTGAATCGGAGAAAATTTTCAAACTACAAAAGAAGGCGATACGAATTTTTAGAAGACAATTTTAATATACGTCTTACACGTAGTTACAATCAGACAAGACTGGTTGAAAAACTAAAAATAACAACATTCATTTTTTTAATAACATTTCCCACGGAAACAAAGAATATGAAAACATGGCTACTAAAAATTTTGTAATTTTTGGAAGGTGAATTGTGAATGTTTGTAGCGACGCTACAATTATAGTACGCGTCGAAGAGGAGATTTGGCGATTCCGTACCATCCGACAACAAGAACACAAAAATCTTTCAATTTTATAGCGGTGAAATTATGTAATGCATTACCAATAAGGGAAATGAATTTCAGAATGTTCAAAGTCACGGTGAAAGAAATCTTACAGGAAGGAAAATTTTATTCTATAAATGATTTTTTTATAAATTTTGAATTGTAATTTATTTTCTTTGTTTTGTGACGATGTATTGTACGCTGTTTGTACCTTATTGAATAAAGAATAATATGAAATATGAAGTCTTTGAATCCTACTTAAGAGCCTTTTCAACATATCGAATTACTTTCTTTGTTTCGTTGCTTTTGACTGGAGGTACTACCAACGCAACGTTGAAGAAATCTGTGATCACAATCAGAGTGTGTCTGAATGTAAAAAGCAAAAAAAATATTTATAATTCATGATAGGTTCAGAACAATAATTAAAAAAGTAGAAAAAAACATATTCAATTTATTTTATTCAAATCAAACAACATTTTTGTCCCTTTTAATATTACATTTCTGTTAAGGACTTCTGTTATTAATGTATTCTCTGATCTGTTGTGTTAACCATTCAACACCTTCCTGTAATCCTTCCCCCGTTAAAGCATTACTAGCTGAGATGTGCCAAGGTTTATCCATAATTTTATCCATTCCCAAAGCAGCGGCAATTTTTACGCTGCTCAAAGAGTCCTTACAATCCATCTTATTAGCAAAAAATAAAACGGGAATTTTCTTGTTGCATACGTCCGGATGTGACAGAAGCAAATCCAACTCATCTTTTACAACAACCAATCTCATTCGATCGCTGCTATCCACCACAAATATTATTCCGTGACAGTCTTTGTAATAATGCTCCCATAAATCTCTGTATCGACCGTGACCGGACATATCAAATGCAGTGAAAGCTAAGTTTTGATCTAAAAAATGTTTGTGTTTAGTAACAAAAGGTATTTAATACAATTATTGACTTACTCTGAAAACGTTCAACGCTGAACCCAACAGTTGGCACAATTTCCATTTTGTCGATTCGTTCCTCTTCATTTTTAAAATGATTAATAACCGTACTTTTACCACTATTATTCAATCCGATCACAACCACATTCACCTCCTTCTTCTTAATACCCAAGAAAAAAGCGAGCTTCTGAAACAGACCCATGTCTGCTGCATGTTTGTATAGTCTACAACTTAGAGATGCAGGTACTGAAATAATCAATACCCACGGGTATCGTGTTGGTTACCAATCGAAAGAATTATAAACAAGCAGGATTGAATATGTCATTCATAATAAAAAAGAAATCTTTAGGACTTTTAATTAAAAAGAAAAAAATTTTTTTTTTTAAAATGCCAATTTCGAGATGGATTTATTCTTTATATTTATTTGAAGCAAGTTTATCTAATAAAAAAATTGTACCCAAAACCGTTGTATTAATACAAAAAATAATAACAGATTTGGATAAGGGTGCAAACCTGGTGTCAAAAATCTAAGCAAATGCTTAGAAATCGTAAAAGCCAAACTGTGTACTGTCACAAGAATATACATTCGATATAGAATTTGTTTTGGGAAACGAAAACGTGTTGATCGAAATCAAACCGAGCAAATTCCATATTGACAAAGGATGCTGTCTTCAACATAGACGTCGAGAAGCTATTGACTCCGTGCTGACAGACGACATGAAAATACTGACCAAAGGCAACATTCCAAGTTGTTAACAATTCTTCAAATGTTCTCCGTCGCATATTATGATATGCTATAACTGATAACTATAATAATAACTTAACTCTTTGCTTCTGGTACACTACGTGTTTGCTGATACATCGAAGAATGGAGCTGGTTACCTTTTCCTTCCTGCATGGCCTATCCAATTTCTCGTTCTACCTTCTCCGTGGTTATCATCCATGGTTATTAACCATGGTTATCACGTTGCACTTTGGCCACGTATTCGAATTTAGCAAGCCATTCAACCTTTCTCTATACATCATCTCGACTGACGTGGGCTGGTCCGCTGCTGCGCAGTTCGTGGTTTTACAACATATGTGCGCGCACACCCTTCCACATCATACTACGAAAACTTGTAGACGTTTTCTTTTATTTGGTGAAGATTTCACATTTCTATCTTGCTTTGTTGCTTTTCTGTGACCAGTCAAAAGTGCACCATGACGTTACGAACTCACTGTATTATAATTATTTTGTACGGCCTCGATGTTTTCGTTCTTAAGGGGTAACACCACTGTAAAATGTTCACTATATGGATTGTTATTTTTTGCTTTTAAAATACTCTTTAAGGTCTTAAAAATCGCCTCCGAAAGATTTTATACAGATATCAATTGTTTTTTTAATTAAGCGTCCTACGCACATACGCGATAGCTATATCGTTGGAATATTGTGTTTACGTTTGTACTGTTGTATTTCTTTCCCTGTGATGCAGTTCTCTCTTTCTTTGTGGAAGTCTATAGGCAGGCATGTTTTGGGTGAAACATAAACATTGGTCTTATTTGTCAGTAAATCATAGCCATTAGACTAGTAGTACAAGAAGAAAAAAGATTAAGCGATGCCGAATGTGAAACTGTTTCCGGAGATGGGTCATGGAGAAAAAGAAGTTTTTCGTCGCTCTACGGGTTAGTTTCTAGGAAAAAGTTTGGGAGGAAAGAGAAAACTGACTGAAAAATAAATCGATAAATCGACAATTTATTACGGGCTAGCAATTAGAAGAAACTCCGTTTCCATCGAAAAAATGAAAGAGGCAATATGGACCATCCTTTACCATCAAATATCCACAAACGAACAGCCACAACATGAAAGGTGTCCGAGCGGTGTCGATTCGTAGCGTAGTTCTATAGTTGACAGGTTGCGAAATCAAATAACCAACTGGTGGAATATAAGCACAAATCACCGATGCCACTGGTAATTTTCGAAGAGCTTAAACCTCTATATAATGATGTCAAAATTGAATTATTAAATCGTTGCTGGGTGGATTTACTCAGAACAGTAATGACAGTTTTAACGCAACTGTGTGAGCGATTACATCTAAAAGTTCTTCTAGTGGCAAAAAGATTTTGGACATTTGCTCGGAGATAATTTAACGACGAAATGATCACTGTTATGCATATAATGCAAGCTTTAAGCATCACTATAGGTAGTAACTGTTACCATTTTTGGATAGAAGCCGATGAATAGCGTATAAAGTTATCAACGCTCACTTACTGACTAAGCAAAAGAAGCTCGTTTGAGAATAAAATCCTCAAAACAAGAAGAAGATGACATCCGCAATGTTGAAGGGCAGCTTTATAGTCCTGGGATAGCAGATTCATCATTACTAAAAGATTTTCGCTCTAAATCTAGAGATATTCACTATTAAAACTTTAAATGCGTTTTTCTCAAAACTATGATTTTCAAATTGGCTAGCAGCATAACTCAAACAATTTTTAAACGAATGATTTCTTGTTTGAACAGAAAATGTAAAATGCCTTTCTCTAGCGAAGTACGTAGGATTTTTTCGATAAATTAAAAATTTGTTAAAGTTACTGCCAATTTTGTTTCATTATTTAAGCAAAAATGCAGACCTTAGTCTTAATAATCCTATGAAATTGTTAAAACTCAACATTTTAAAAAGCGACTTCATAGTACTTCCGCAGATATTAGTCTTAAGAAAATATTAGAAAAACTGTTTTGTTCCAAACAAAAATTTACGGCAGTTATACTGCTAGCCATTGGCTGAGGTCTCAAATGCAGCATTTCCGTCAACTCCTGAAGAATCCGCCATATTCAACATTTTATTGTTATCAAACATATTTTTTACTGTACTAAACCTGTATTAATAGGATGAGCAACACCGAAATGTAATTATGTTGTGTAACTCGTTAAATACAATTACAAAAAGAGGCCTTATTTGCAGTCGGTTACAGTGGTGTTACCCCTTGCGTTGCCAATAACGATCTTTGCCATATTACAGCACAGAAACCTTGACTTCACTTCCCGGCATAAGTATTTTTGCAGTAATTTAGCTTCTCCTGTTCCATTGTTATATTTCTTGAACCTTGAATCTTCAGATTCATATTTCTATATTAAAGAATGATTGCTGTCGATAAGTTTTATATTCACTATGAAGATTGTATAGGTGTCATGACAAATGGCATATTACAGCGATACGAAGCACATGGTTTTGGTTTACTTAGAGGTTATGTCTTATCAATGAGATGTGAAAAAACAATTAAATGTTAGTCGTTTAAGTGTGCAAAGAAGACCCCAATGGTTTCTTGCAACAGATTCTTATCAGCGACGGTCCGGTACAGGTGCTAAAAAAAATAACTGCCAGAAAAGATCTTTGTCACAATTTTTGTATTGGGAGATCGAACGCAAACCAGCTTTTGACAAGCAAAAGGAGCGACCACTGTTCGACGAAGGTTAAGGGAAAATGATTTAACAGCTTGCAATCCATCTCCAGGACGTTTGCTTACTACACCTCACAAAAGACGTAGAGATCACAGAAGAGCATGATGCCTTGTGGTGGATTTGACGCAGTACTGTGATGAAGTTGGTATTCCTGAAATATACTTACTGGCCTGCTCATAGCTCGGATTTTAGTGCTATTGAGCATATTTGGGACCAACTCAAAAGGCGTGTAAGACGATGTACCACAACATGTGATGAACTTAGATTGGCCTTTATTCATGAATGCGACAATCTTCCTCAAGTAGGCAAACAGGACGTGCTAATATCTATGTCAAATCGTCATCCACAAATATTTGTAAATGTAATAATAATATGTTTTATTATTATTATGTTTTACAAAGATTTCACAATTTTTCGCTAAAAAGATCGTTTACCGAATATAAGTTTTTATGTTAACATCTCTTAAGGTATTTTTTGATGCAGATAGCCAGTTTTATTTTTAATTCATTTGGAATGTTAACCTTAACACAAAAGTGAATTACGCTTGCTTGTATTTTACCATATTCCGTTTTCGGTGCTACTAGGTAGACCGCTCAACGCCTCGCGTTAAATACCATTGTTTCTCCTCGTATTTGGAGAAGAATGAACAGTAATTTTTTAGAAATATACCTAGCCGTTTCTAAAATTAATAAAGATGGTAATATTAAGATCTTATAATGTTCAAAAACTGGTTTACATGAATCTCTGGGTTTCAGTCTACGTATTCCTAGTCCACGTATTCCTATAAGTTGCAATTTCTTCAATAAGATGTCATAGTGGACACTGTCAAATGCTTTAATTACGTCCATCATTATATAGGGTTAGGCAGGGAGGTATGGATGATATGAACGCGGCGCCACGCAAAATGGAGAGAACCTTGGTGGATAAAGAGCCATTGAGTTATTAGTAACAATGGAGACGTAGTCGAGTAATACCCTCAATACTGTATGGTTTCAACAAGATGGGGCGACATGCCATACATTGAGAGCAGCTATGAACTTCTTAAGGCCGACCTTCCTTGGACGCCTCATTTCATTGCGTGAAGATGTGGAGTGGCCTTATCGGTCACCTTGTGACTTTTTTTATGGGGCTACCTCAAAGCAAGAGTATACATAAACAAACCACGTACACTTCAAGCCCTAAGTGAATTTTTCTAAATATTTTCAATACCATTTATGGTAGAGCGTTGAAATTTGGTACAGGGTAAACAAATATCAAGCAAAATCATTGAACCAATTTTGACTTTGATCGAGCGGCGGCAACCATGCTATACAGGGAGTCCCTAAAATTTGTTTGCTCAGAACTTTTTTGTTCGATCGTAACCCTACATTTATTTTTGCAGTTTCTAATAGAAAATTTACTTTAGAAGCTTTTATCTCTCTTAGATAATATTGATAAAAATCACCGTTTTCGTGTTAAATGCAAAAATGGTAGGCTCCCATTTCAATAACACTAAAAAAAAAGAGTCTAAGTCTGCCATGACAATTAACAAACGAATTCATTGACAGTTGTAAACACGCTTAGTCGTTTAAACAAATACTAAAAACCTTGTAGTGTTCGAAATGGAAAATTACACGTTTGGAGAACAAACCGATATGCTTTTAACATTGGGTGAATGTCTTGGAAATTCCGTAGCAGCCGCTAACCGTTATCGGCAAAAATTCCCGAATCGTAGAACCCCCAACAGAAAAACGTTTTCTCGAATTGAAGCCCGATTAAGAGAAAATGGATCACTAAAACATATCTTTCTGAACAACGGCAACCCTAGATCTGTTCGAACTCCTCAATTGGAAGAGTTAATTTTAGAACATGCAGAAGAAAATAGTACTACTAGTACTTCGGACATGGCTAGGCGATTTGGGACGTCAAAAACGACTGTGTGGCGTATTCTTCGAGAGCAGCAGCTTTACCCATTTCACTGCTGTAAGGTTCAGGAAGTACAGCTTACTGATTATCCAATTAGATTGGAATATTGCCAGAAAATGCAACAGAAAATACAAATTGATAATCAGTTTTTAGAAAAAATACTTTTCACCGATGAATCTACTTTTTCCAAAGATGGAATAATTAAAATATATTTAAAGAATAATTTAAGGAATTTACATAGTTGGGCTAAAGAAAATCCAAAATTTTTCAAAACTTTGAAATCTCAATGGAGATTTTCTCTCAATGTTTGGGCTGGGATTGTGGGGGATGTCATTGTTGGTCTCGTTTTCTTGCCGTCAAGACTTGATAGCCCTACATACCATCAACATTTGGAAGGATTGGACGAGTTCTTAGCGACGTTCCGTTAAATACCAGAAGGGACATGTGGTCTTTTTGAACATTTCCTATAGTATTTTTTATTACTTGTCTTGTTATTTTATGTATTTGTTTTATTTTTCCTGTTAGCGTTGTCGTTAAAATTAAATTTATTGTTTTGTATTATCTTTTATTAAATCAACTAAAACAAATTAAAAAGGGATTTACCTAATCTACACTTGGAAATGTTACATACATAATATTTATGACGGCTCAGTTCGATTTGCACTTGTCATGGCCGACTTAGATTTTTTTTTTTAGTGTTATTGAAATCGGAACCTAACATTTTTGCATTTAACACGAAAACGGTGATTTTTATCAATATTATCTAAGAGTAATAAAAGTTTCTAAAATAAATTTTCTATTAGAAACTGTAAAAATAAATGTAGGGTTACGATCGAATAAAAAAGTTCTGAGCAAACAAACTTTAGGAACATTCTGTATAGCATTGTTCCCGCGGACCGATCCAACTTATAAACCCAATGGTTTTACGTGATATTAGTTTATACTGTACCAAATTTCAGCACATTACCATAAATAGTGTTTAAGATATTTAGAAAAATGTGTTAAAATTTCATAACTTTGATAGCCTGTATCTTCGAAATTTGAGTACTTTTACTAATTTTTTTTACATGAATCGTCATCATTTTCACTCTAGTATATGTGGTTAAATTTATTCCCCGAGTCACCGAAACACCCTGTATAACCGTTTTGGGACTAGTTAAGTATTTGGTTCTTGGTAACGTAATCTCAGTCTTTTTAGGACAAGCTTTTCAAAAACTATTGCAATGTTAGGAATTAGCGCAATTGGTCGATAATTTGTAAAATCTGATTTATTTCCTCTCTTATAAATCGGTCTTACTATAGCTCTTTTAGATTCATCAGAAATATTGAATTGAAAGAGTAGTTTATGACGCTGCTCAAGGGTTCTGCAATTTCATCAACGCACTTTTTTAGAACAGAGATTGGAATAATAATAAATTAGAATTTCATCGTAACGCACCGTATGTGTGTTATTCAAAGACATAATAATAGATTTTACTTCTATGGGATCTGTTAAGTAGAGTCCAAATGATTTTTTCATGGCTATATTCGATTTAACAGTATTCGGACATATTTATTGTTTGTATATTATAATAGAAATGTCAATAAAATTTTAATAAACGTCTTATCACACGAAGATTATTAAAATGTTTGAGGACAATTATTCTGATGAAGTAACTGGGCCAACTCTTCGCATAGACATACCAAGTTTATCAACTCAAAAAGCAAGAAGTATTACAAGCGAAAAAGTCTTTGGCGATTTGGGTTGGAAGAACCTCTTATTAGTTCAATTTCAACGTCCGTTTACTTTCGCAATTTACGTTGGTATCATAGCATCTTATTGCATTATAGTTTTCGAAGCTGGACTATCGTTTTCCATCCTACAAAACGAAACTCCCCTTGAGGTGTATATAACAAAAACGAAAGGAGTCATTTACGCGTTCGACGCCTTTTTCTTCATGGATGTGATGTTTATGATTATCTTTAAAAATACTGAGTGGCCCGAATATAGTCATCGGTTTAAAGCTAGAAACGCTGGTATATTAATCATGGAGATGTGTTCGTTGATTCCAATTGACGGGATTTACTATGCTATTGCTGTAAAGAAGAAGCCGTCGTCGGTAAATTTTTTACGATTAAGATATGTTTTTAGAATTATTCGGATATTTTACGATCAAAGAATTCCGTCGGCGATGACTAAAGAGCAATCGTTGATAATAAATACGGAAAAGTTGTTGATAACCGTTGGGGTTATGTGCTGCACGCTTGCTGCGTTGGTTCTTCCGTATATATGCGAGTTAAAATGTTTCCCAGAGGAGTTAGATAACGTGATGTATTATTATTTATACGTCGCTTCTGAGAAAATTACCGGAAAAGGTTTTGGGAAGGTGTATTTCCACGCAAACTTAAACAAAGGTTTTGCAATTCAAGTATTTAACTACATAGGATTTATGGCGTATTTAGTTATGGGGTATATCGTAAGCAAAGCGATTTGTATGTATATTTCCAACGATAATCACGTATATTCATATTTAACTAAATACAAAACTATCAAAGACGAATTAAATAATTGGCGAAAAAGAAATCTTGCAATGTGGAGGATGCACGATGAATGTTTAGTTCGCACAATTGAGGCATATTACCGATTGATTTGGACTAAAAAACGGTGGTGTGTAACTATGGCTTTCACCCAAGAAGTTCTTCCTAAAGTTATGTTTAAAGACGTTTACTTAGATATGTCATGGAACGGGTTCAAACACTCCCACTTATTCAAAAACCAAGAAGTACATTTTCTTCGGGAAGTAGCAACCTATATGAATCATTTAGTTTGCGCCCCAGGCGAACTTCTTTACGGTAGAGACCGAGAAAAACAAGGAATGTTTTATATTAAAACCGGCATCGTGCAAGTTTTATCAGAAGAAAATGGCGAAACTCCAATCATATCATTTTCCGGTGGTACATGTTTAGGAGAATCCACTTTAATAATTGGTTACGACTCAAATTGGAGCGTGATGTGTAAAACGTATTGCGAAATAAGTTTTTTAAAACGTTCCGATTTTATCAAGGTGAGTTTAATTTATCCTCGCGAATACCACAGATTGATAACAACGATTTCAAGAAGATATTTAAAAGCTAGGCGATACAGAGAATTATCTGAGTATCAATGGGAAAAATTATTAATTACAAACCCCGATACGGTAATAATGATTTGGTTGAAAAAAACGTTGCATCAATTGGTTGAAAACGAAACGATTTACAAACAAGATGATTCATTTCGTGAGGAGGAGTTGGTTTTTTGTCCCGATTATTTAAATCTTTTGGTGATTACGGAAGATATTGAGTTGGTTATTGATATGATTTTTTTGAAAACTACGTTCCCGGCGATTTTTCAACCCGAGTCTGTTGTTTTAGATGGTTGGAACATATTCATTAGTATTATTGCGTTAATAATTTTTCTTTTTTATCCGTGTTATGCACTTTATTGCGGTACGATTACACACGCAACTCACGTTCTTATATTAAGTATTATAACATTTATTTGTTTGACGGATCTTTATATTCAATCTTCAACAGCCGTGCGTACTAAAGATACGCTTCTTACAACGATACCTTCAATAATTTATAATCGCTTAACAAACACGGGATTTTTGGTGGATTTATTTTCTTCGATACCTATTAGCATATTTTTTATCTTAATGAATAATCAGGTATCATACGAAACTTTGGTGCTAACTGAGATTCATAAACTTTTAAAAATTTACCGATTAAATTTCACCTTTTCGAAATTGGAGATGCTTCGGATTACTAATAAGATGGTTCTTAAGTATTTTAAGGTTTTTTTGGTGGATTTCTTTTTATTTTATTACACGGCTTTGGTTTTGTATTACGTTATTTGTAACTCAACGAGTCGTGGGTGCCCCAAAGAATACCTTAATTTGATTGTTGAGTACTTTGATGATAGCCAATTCAATGTTTTGTTGCACCTTTTCACGGTTGCAAGTACTTTTTTGGGGAATATGACCTTCACGGATTTGCTTAAATTCATTAAGTACGATCAAGTTGGGATTGTAATAGCTGTCCAATTCCTGTACGCTTTCTGCAGCGTTTTCGTTTTAGCGTATATTTGTATTATGGAGACGTTGCGCGAAAAAGAAGTGCATCAATACAAAGAGTTTGTGGCTACGGTTGATGTGGTGTTGAAGGATTTAAATGTGAGCTCTGGATTGCAACGAAGAATTAGCTTGTATTTGACGGATCAATTTTGGGATAATAAAGGTTTACACCTCTTAAACCCTATGCTTTTTAAGAATAATATGTCGAATAATCTTTATTCGTTAATGAATCAAATTCGATACGAAAAGCTTCTTCACGATTTACCTTTACTCGCCGACTTAGAAGAAACTATAATTATCGATTTTTCGCGAAAATTAAAGGTGACTCATTATCCTCCAGGGGAAGTTATAACTTACGCAGGGGAAGTGTGCAAAGAAATGCACGTCATTGAAGTTGGATTTTGCCAAGTTTTGGGGAGTCAAAATAAAATATTGCATCCCAGTGAAAGTTTTTGCGTTATCGAAACGTGTATGCGAATACCGACGTTTTATACCGTGGTAACATTAACCGATTGTAACGTACTGTCTTTATCGCAGATGGAGTATGCGAGGTTGGCCACTAAATACCCAGATTTTGGTGCTTCAATTAGCGAAGCTTTGGAATACACGATTTCGGGGGAGAAAATAAATCAGATACAGAGTACTAATCGCGAGGTTGATATGTTAAAAGTGGACGTTAAGGATCAATTATGCAGGAAATTTAATGTTAAGACTACTCTAGAAAAGATGCGTTACTCCAGCGAATTTGGAACTTTAATGTTTTTCATGAAGTTTATTATAATGCGGCGCACTTTCCCCACAAATGGTAAGTTCATTTTTTATTGGGAATGGTCCAGATTGATTTTCGCGTTTGCCACAAATATCTTTACCAGATATGCATACACCGCAGATACATCTTTCCCTTATTACTTCTGTTTGTGCATGGATATGACAGCTTGGGTCGATATCTATGTAAGACACCACGTTTGCTACTACAACGATAAAGGAACTGAAGTTAGCCATCCGGCAAAAACCTACATTCATTATTGGACCAACGGATTATTAATAGACATGCTTTCTTGCGCACCCATCGATTATTTATTCGGCCAACCATCCACTAAACCTTATTTAAAATTAAACCGATTTTTGCAACTATATCGCCCCCTTCGTTTAATGAAATACATAAACGACAACAACATATCACGCTCGAAATTGTACGATTTGTTTAAATATATTCCTTTCGTTTTTGTAACGATCGATTTTATGAGCACCATCGCTACATACTTAACATGCGCATCTCCAATCAACATAAACCTCGAAAATGTATCTTGCACCGCTGAACATTGGGCCAAATTACATTTGAATAATACGAATCTTTCGCCACAACTCAAATTACATACAGCAAGTCTCATTGTTACCGCTACATCCCTCACGGTGGTTAGTTTCCATCGTGTCTATTTAAGTTCGAAACAAGAACTTCTCAACGCTGGGTTTTTCATAATATTTGGGCACATATTTTTTGTGTGGATGGCTGCTCGATTGGTGTCGAATAGTTTCTACAATGAAACTGACTTAATCGCTTACCAAGAAGCCATGAGGCACTTATTAACATTCGTTGCTGCAAGAAAAATCGATAAGAACATAAAAAACGAGATCATCGCGTATTACGAGTTTATGTGGAAAAAAACAAAAGGAAAAGATTTGATGGTGCTATTAAACGCTTTTAGTACCGCCATTAAAGAAGATATTCTATACGACATGTTTGGAAAGGCTCTGAATACATCATCAACTTTTCTAACAGCACCCAAATCCTTCTTCAAAAGCTTATTATTAGAATCAACTTATGAAGTATACGTACACAAAGGAATTATTTATAGAGTTAACGACGTGCACGGTTACATCTACATCCTTCTCAAAGGTACCATTGATGTTCTTGGGGCCGATTACAACAAACTGCTTATATTATCCCCCGGAAGTATTTTTGGAAACTTAGATAACGTTCTTCGGAGCAGACAAACATTGACTATGATCGCAAAAGGACACGTTGAAGTATTAAAAATAGCTTCGCTTCAATATCACGTCGTGATATCAAAGTATCCCCAAATTATGCGATTTTACACTAAATTAACCAGGTTTAACGTGGATTACATCGAAAATCACGATGAAGATCTTATGCATAAATACTCCACCATGACAATGCAGTCAATTGCCTCATTAACTCCTTCCGGAGGTAAATGGCGCCGATCTTCAAAATCAAGTAGAATGTCAGATAAAGTCGATATATTATCATTAAGTAAAATGAGCGCCACACAAAATTACTCAAAAGTTTTTAGGGTGATCAAAAATAATGGTTGGATTAAATTTATTCGCTTATCAATTATTTGTATAAGTTGCTTCTTTGGATTTCATTTAGAAATATATCAATTAGGAAATTACGACGATAACGTCATAGTGATCTGCCTCTTATATTTCTGCGACTTATTATATTTGGGAAAAATGTATCTTGACTTTTTCACCAGCTATGTCGACGACACCGGATTAATCGTAACCGATTTATTCTTAATAAAAAAGCGCTACATGAGCCAACCGTTTGGATTTTATTTCGATTTGGTCGCCCTAATTCCCGCCGAATTATTTTCATTGGGCTTTATCACTCAATCGTACTTTTGGATCATATGGACATGGTTCAGAAAAAATCGCTTAATAAAAGTAATATATTATTTTTATTTATTGAAAGTAAGCAAAGCTAAATTACACGTAAACGTAAAAATTGTCAGCATCATCCATATAATATCCTGGTTAACAATCCTCCTTCAAACAATGAGCATTCTATTATTAATGTCCCATATCATTGAAAACACCAACCACGAAGACAAACTCTCACTTTTAATCAATTCGTTTGAAATGATAACTTATGCAGCTTCCGGTACAGCTCTTACAGAGGCACCATTCACGTTTACCATCTATTCGATAATCAGCGTATTAATAACAATGTTAGTTTGCAAGTTCTTCATCACTTTATTTATAGCGGAATTATGCTCGTTAATCGAAAACGTCTACCAGAACAAAAGCAAGTATCGTATATACGCTTTATATTTAAAATATCAACTCAGAGAAGAAGATGTTTCCGTACCTCTCCGCAAACGAGTGGGTGAATATCTCAATTTACTTTGGATTCATCATCGAGGATTTCAATATCCAAGCCTATTAAACCAAGCGCCTTATTACTTAAAAGAAGCCATTTTAAACGCAATGTATGGTTTCCATTTACGTAGACATCCCCTCATTAAACACTGCCATACAGATCTTATCAGACAAATGTCGGCCACGTTCGACGTCTTAATATTCTTTCCGGGAAATTTTGTTGCTTACATTGGGGATATCGACGGATGCATGTATTTCATACATAAAGGAGAAATTCAAGTATTAATCGAAGACAGTTTGCAGCATGAAAATGCTGTAGACGTGTTACGAACTGGAGATTGTTTTGGATTAGATCAGGGATTGTATAAAAATTGCGGACATGATTATAGTTACAAAGTAACAAAAAAATCTATTGTTATCGCACTTAATAAAGACAAATGGTTTCATTTACTTAAATTTTTTCCCGCTTCAAAGACCGTTTTGTTCGATCTTAGGAATGCATATATGGATAATTATTAATAATTAAGATGTGAATTATTTTTTGAATTATATAAATTGTATTGAATATAAATAAATTGATTCTCTTGTTACCTTTGCTAGTTTAAATATCCGGTTATTAGCAGGTCCTTGAGTGATCAGATTGGACTTAACACCTTTTATTCTGTCTTATCTTGTACCGATGAGTGTGAAATCAATTATTTTCAAAGAACATCGATGACCTGAAATGAAAAATTCAGCAAGGGATTATATTACTATAAGTTCAAATAGTAATAATTAATAGTAGGTACCCTTCTTTTTCAACAAAATTTTTTTGTACAACATAATACAAAACTTCTTCTTGACCGTGAAAATGTGTGCCACTGTATAAGAGTTAGTTTAACACTCCATCAATATCATATTGATGAGCGTTTTACAAACGTTGTTATGTTTACAACAAAATTTTGATTTACACGAATTATTATGGCATAAATTATTGAATAGATTTTGTCTGCAGGATTTCAATACTGTTCTAAATGAACGGGAGCCAGTGCTTCTAGTTTAAACCTCGTTTTCTACGTTACTCTAGAATATAGTTATTCTGTAGTGAATACAAGAGTTAAGCTTTGTTCGTTGGGACTGCACTACTTGCACTCACTTGCACTAAGCAGTTTAGAGCAGATGTTGTGTGTTCGTTGGGGATAGTGCAGTTTAGTGCAGTTGCACTCATAAGCTTTGTTCGTTGGGACTGCACTACTTGCACTCACTTACACTATGCAGTTTAGTGCAGATGTGTGTTCGTTGGGGATAGTGCAGTTTAGTGCAGTTGCACTCATACTGTTTGTTGGGCCAGGTGCAGTGCAATTTAGTGCAGCCGGTGCAAGTTAGTGCAGATTTTGTTGCACCTGCTTTCGATTAAGTTCAATAAGTGCAGTGTAATCAAAATGGCGGAATATTTGAAAACGTGTTTTGTAATAATTAATATTAATATTAAATATTAAGAAATAAAACCTTATAATAATTAATATTTGTTGTATTAGTGAACACAGTATATTCAATCCCAGTAGAGGCAGTAGAAAACTACCCCTACTTTTTTGGAATAATTTAAAAACTACCCTGTCGATTTTGGCGGCATTAAATACACTTATAGTACATTTAAAAATATTATGCGTTTTTTCTCATTTAGGGGTGGCTGGGGTTAACTACCCTCACCACCCCAAATTTTTTTTTTGCAAGTACTGCTTATCAATTTTGGTGCAATTTAGCATGTGATTTCTTTATACGTTAAGTATTACTTTTGAAAGAACTAATAAGGGTTAGTAGTTTGGTATAGAAAATATATTTCGCTAATAATTGAAAAAAATAAAAAATAATAATAATAATTGATGAATACTAAAAAAGCGCTACTAAAGAAACATTCTGCGATAATTTCATTTTCCCCGAGTATTTCGCTGACAATCTCCTGTTCGTCCATTTCAAATATTATACACTTTTTTTATAAAAATCTGTTCGTTGGGACCACGGTTTATATACTTTTCTGACCTGCACTAAATTGACATGACATTGCATTGACTTACACTTCATTGCACTATGACGTCATACGAGTGCCATGTCGTGCAGAGTAGTGCAGTCCCAACGAACAAAGCTTTAGATTGACGCTAGGAATTATTTTTGGCGGTAAATTTAAATTCACATTTCACTATTTATTGACTATACAGGTGTCCCCTATCTTTCGCATCAGAGCATTATACGGTTGTAGGATACATTATTCTGAAGTGATTTTTCTAATAATTTTTTTTCGAAATGTTGTTTCGAAAATGTCCAATAGCGGATTCACGAAGAGAAACGTGTTATGAGCGTCGCGGCGATGCCGCCAAGTTACGGAGACGATCGACTCCGAAGGATTCTGGCCCTGGTTTGTCCATTGATGGGATTTCGGATAAACTTTTTATCAATGAGCATCTTACCCAAGCGAACAAAATCCTCTTTGTGAGAACCAAGATGGCCAGGGAGAAAAAGTACAAATATGTATGGATCCGTGACTGCAAAATATTTGTGTGGAGAGGGGATGACTCACGCCCCATCTTAATAAAATCCACGGGTGACATTGATAAGCTTTCATTTGTCATTTGTCTTATGCCTTTCTTTACAACTTACTTGTTAATGTTCAATGACTCCTCTTTCGTGTTACTACCAAAACGTGCGAGGTCTTCGCACTAAACTGGTTAAACAAATCAGTAAAGTAGTAACTCAACAGATTGATTTAAACGTATTATCACCAGATAAACACCTTCTAAGAACAAACAATGAAGGATGGAAATGTTTTGATTTTTTTTTTATTTTTTAATTTGGAAGAATTTATTATTGTATGGAAGTCAATGGAGGACAATTTGAACATTTGATTTAAAAACGCAGATTTGATTTTTTGATTGTGATAAATAAAACAACATGATAAAACAATTCAATTTTTTTATTTATAACCAAAATATTCAAGGTTGCTCATTTGAGCTAAAAAATTGATTTTTGGCGAAAACGGTTCATCAAATTTACGTTTTTCATACACCGTTGTAAAGAGGCTTCCAAGACCTTTCAAATGAAGTATCACTCAACCCCTCTCCCCTATTCAATTTTGAGGAGTTGAAGCACCACCTCTTAGGGGGTTGCTCGTTCAAGCCTCAAATGACGTCAAAAGATGTCCCCCAACAAAATCATTCGACGGGTTTCGGGAAACTTTTCTAATCACTATGAGATAAGAAATATACGGGGTGGCTCGTCTGAGATGGAACACCCTGTATTTCTCTTCCGTGTATGTCCCTCCCTCTATTAATTCACTTAATTTTGCTAACGCTGAACTTAATGATACTACATGTTTGGGTCCGATGCGCTTTGAGTGGTCTGAGGTTGAGGAAGCATTTATTGCTTTAAATATAAATAAGGGTCCAGGCACTGATGGTATTCCTCCTATCCTAATAAAATCATGTTTTGAATCTCTTTCTCTACCACTTTCCTTATTATTTAATAAATCTCTAAAGGAAGGTACCTTTCCTGCCTTTTGGAAACGTGCCTATATTTTGCTCATTTTTAAATCCGGTAGTCGTAACCTTATTTAACTATCGCCCAATATCCATATTGTCTGTGTTTGGTAAAGTTTTAGAGAAACTGGTTTATACCAGACTTTTCTTTAGTCTTAAATCTAAAATCGATTCCAGCCAACATAGTTTTTTTGCGAATCGGTCAGTGGAGAGCAACCTGCTTGAATACACAAATTATATTTTAACATCAGGTGATCAATATTGTGAAGTTGATTCTGTTTACACCGATTTTAGCAAGGCTTTTGATTGTGTGGATAACAGCCTTCTTTTATCAAAACCTCATGGTTCTTCCCAATCGCCCTTCGGCACTGGCCAAATGCGACACTAGCTTTCTTTACTCTATTATCTAGGTGTGACTTTCACGATAGTTTGCTATCCAAAGTGATACCCAGACATTTAACCTCTTTAGACAAACTCAGTGGCCATTTTCGGAACAAGGGCAATCGAAAATTACCAATTTTCCGCAACCGCGTGAAAAGGATTAAATCGGTCTTATTGGGGTTATCCGACAATTTCTGCCTTCCACACCATTTCTCGACTATATTGACAGCCTCTTGTATCCTGTCAAATAACACCCCCACATGTTTTCCCCTGACAAGGATAGTTAGATCATCAGCATAGCCGACGGTATCGAATTTGGCCTCTTTGAGGCGTTTAATAAGGCTGTCTAGAATGAGGTTCCATAGAAGTGGTGAAAGAACACCTCCTTGAGGACATCCTCGCGTTACAGCCTTTTTAAGGGTGGCGTTGCCAGCCGTTAGCTTGACGATTCTTTGTCTGAGGGAGCTCTCTATCCAGCCACAGAGGGTAGGAGGAACATTATGCTCAGTCAAAGCTTCGTTAATACCAACGAAGATCGTCTTATCAAAGGCGCCCTCTATATCTAAGAATACTCCCAAGGCGTTCTCTTTGGAGTCCAATGCCTTCCCGACAAAACTGGTCACACTGTGAAGAGCTGTCAGTGTGGACTTGCCTTGGGTGTACGCATGTTGATTAGAATCTAAAGGTCTATCGACAAGACAGACATCCCTTATGTAACGATCGCACAGTCTCTCTAAGGTTTTTAATAAAAACGAGGAGAGGCTGATTCGTCTGAAAGACTTCGGAGGAAGTATTTTTGCTTACCCGGTTTAGGTATGAAGTTTACCAAAACCTCACGCCAACAACTGGGAATGTAGCGAAACGCCAGGCATCCCTGAAAGATGTTCCTTAGATGAGGTATCAATTCCTCCAATCCCCACTGCAGCAGGGCGGGTACGATACCATCAGCTCCAGGAGCTTTGAAAGGTGAAAAGCTGTTTATTGCCCACCTCATTTTGTCCTGCGTGCAGATCTTATCAGCTAACAGCCAGTCTTCTGCAGTCGGAGTGTGGTTGGTGTCTCCATGAGCTACTATAGAGTCTACCGAATCTGAAAAATGCACATTCATTAGAAGGTGTAAGCTTTGCAGAAGGTTGTCGGTATAGCAACCGTCATCCTTCTGCAATAAACCTATTCGCCGGTCCGGGTCCGAGGCCAGAACCCTTTTAAGACGAGAGAGTTGGTTTCCAGAGGTGACGTCTTCGCAGAATCTCCTCCACGCCCCTTTCTTCTTTCGACGAACACCTTTCTTAAACTCCGATAGTTTACCTTTATAGCAGTTCCAATCAGAATCTAATCTTGAGCTTTTGGCTTTATTGAAGGCTGCTCTGACCTCCCTCTTAAGGTCGCTGACCTCAGTGCTCCACCACAGAGTGGCACGTCCTGAATCAGCTTCCAGGCGGAGTGGACAAGACTTTTTATACGCAATTGTCAGGGAATCTGTCAAGACCAATTATCGTTCCTCAACCTGCCTGCTCAAATTGGGCCAGATTAACCTTATATCACTCAAACACCCTGATAACACCGACTTGAACTTGTTCACGTCAGTGTTTCCGGGGTTTCGCTTCAGGTTTTTCCCGATCTTTTTTA